CAGTTTTAACTTCCTTTAGCTTTTGAAGTTGATTCTTGACCTGTGACTGTGAGTTTTTAATTTTCTGATGATTTTTATTGATTTTCTTTTCGTAATTTGTTTATTCTTTTGAATGTATCTTGTTTTTCCTGGACCTCTATACAAAACCATAGGGGTACTGAGGGAGATATTTTAAGCTTTTGCTTCTCCCTCAAATAGAAATGGTTTTGTTTTTAATGGCTACCGGGGCCGGTACCCCCTGAAGACGTCGGCTTCGGTGGTCGTATTTTTGTTTTATTTCATTTGTTTTGTATTGATACTTTTTTCTGAAATTTCTGCTGCTTTTTAGCGCGTTTTTTTCAAAGAAGTTTTTTCCTTTTGATCTTAATTATTTGTGTTTTCTTTCAGTATTCAAAATTCCGTATCGCCATGTTCGATTGTAAGCCTTCTCAATATTGAAGAACATAGAGGCAAAATGGTTACGTCGGACAAAGGCATTGCGAATTCGTGACTCTAAAGCAGCATGGTTATCGATCGTGGATCTTCCCTTGCGAAAACCACTTTGGAAGTCAGGAATAAGATGACTATTTTCGAAGTAGTATACCAAGCGAGAGTTGATCATCCGCTCAAAGGTTTTCCCAAAACAACTGGTTAACACTATAGGGCGATTGTCCGGTGTGAGCACAGGGGGCTTTAGCCCCCTTATATTTTATAAATGAAGGGACACAAGCCCTTCTAACATTACAATTTTTCAAACAATATTTGCTTAATTAAATTTACAATTAAAAAAATAGATATTTTTTTGTATCTGAATTCTAAAAATATGTTTCTATTTTAATCGAGCTTTAACATTTCCTCGGTGGAAGCTGCTACCAAATCATCCCTTGCTCACTCCCACTTCCGCAAAAGGAACATACGGTCTTATTGATGACCAATGAGGAAAATTCTTGATTTCCAATGTCACAGCGAACGGAATAAATAATAATTTACAGGTAAACAATTTCTTTCTTTAATTTTATTTTGATTTTGAAACAATTCGAATCATGAAGTTCAAATTGCAAGTTTGAGTTCTTGATTGCCATTTTGTGAGGTTAAGTTAATTCTGACCCGTTTAACACGTTCGCTGCCACTGACGCACTAGCGCATCAGAGCGGCACCTCCTGGTATGCCGATGACGAGCTAGCGCGTCGATCGACTATGATAAGTTATATGCTCTGTGCTTTGGGAGTTGAACGGAGAGGTTGTTTCAGCACGTTAGAGAAGCACTTTTTTTTTTGTGTGGTTGGTTTTCAAAACTTTTGTTTGAATTTTTTTATGTGCGTGACTGCCAATATCTGCATATTGTGCTTATTATTTGTAAATATTTTCAGTATTGTTTCATAAATGGTACTACATATACTTGAATGGTATTCCGTTTTATTTCTTTTAAGCTGCTATTTAATGCAATATGTCAGTAATTTCTGAGAATATTGATCAGACGCGCTGAAGCGTCAGTGGCACTCAGGAAGACAGGTTGAGTCTGTGTGCCAGTGACGCTCCAGAGCGTCGAAAAAAACGCTCTCTTAACAGGAAAATAATATGTTTCTTCGTTTTTCTGGTTTTCCTAGTAAAATATAAGGAACATTTAAACCATTGAAACCATGTTTTGTAATCCGGCTTCTGAGGATGAAAATATCATGTTTAGTGGCAACGAATGTGTTAATAATATATAAATAGTATATATACACATACAGGGAGGAGAGGAGAGCCCCCCCCCCACCTTTGAGATACTTCCGCAGTCACTGGCGATAGTAAAATGGATGTTTCGAATCTTGACTTGGTTTTAAGATGGATACCACACTTGCTTCACAGCAACCAGGTGGGTACGTTTGTTCGGTCCATATTCTATTGAACAGAACGAGAACATTTGACAAAGACGTTCGATCTAAGTGGCGGAGCATGCGATACGTGAAATCATCAGGATAGGGGCTTGTATTATGAGAATGATAGAGCGCTTGCTGTAATTCTACAAAATTATAATTGCTGTTATAGCAGAAGAGAAGGCGCGTATCAAAGTTGATGTTATATCACATTATAAATTATTTATGCGCATATCAAAGTTCTCTATTTCACTAATTCAGCAATGATACTTTCTATTTCTGAGGCTTTATTGTTTTTCATTCCTTTGATACAGTAATCAATTATTTCTCTTGCTAGATAAAGTCTTCAACACCAGTTTCTTGATCTTTCTCATTATTCATCTCAGCAATTAAATCTTCACTCTCATTTTCAAATTATAAATCTCTAAAATATTCTCTCTTTCTTTCTATTACTAGTTTTTCTTCCATTAATCTATCTTTTTGACTATTATTATCTTGATTATTATATGTCCATTAATTTTTGGTTGAAATATTTTGGTCTGAAAATCCAGTGTTAAGTATAGTTTCCTTTCATTTTGCCTTTGTTATGAATCAATTTCTAATATTTCTTCTTTTAACCAGTCCTTTTTCTTTTTTAAAAAATTTCCTTCACTTTAAGACTTTTCCTCACTCTGGGCATCTCTTTACACTTATTATAGTCACTTTGTAGTGTTATACATATTCCCACACTTAAATACCACGTAACTAAAATATGTATTTAACAAAATGGCTTTATTTTATTGAAATTACTAAAAACTACTCAATTAATTACAGATTGATTCATTGATTTTATATTTGCTTTTTTTAACATACAACTTGATCTAATTTTAATATTTTTTAAATGGACAATTATATGAGAAAATGTTAAACATTAAAAACAAATTCTGATATTAAATATAATAATATATGCATAAAAAAAGCATACTTATTTTTAGGAATAGTTGTGAATCGTATTTCAGTTCCAGGGACAACTTTCATGTCAGGTAAAAATTTTTCCTCCAGACTTTGAAATCTCTTTTCATTAGAACTATCAGGTTCTGAACTCTCTTTTGATGGATATTGCATGGGTAGAAGTTGAGTAACAGAGCTAATAGATCCATTAAGAGGCTGCAATCTTGCAACGAGACTTTCTGAAAAAATAAATGCAAATAGTTAAAAGATCATAAAGGTAGGTAACAATATAACTTGTGCATTAAGTGAGAAAAAAATGTACAACTTTAAATATCTAGCAAAGATTATGACTTGCTGAAGTTGAAGAATTGAATTAGTTCTGGACAAATTTCTAAGGAGTGTTAACACAAGGACACCCATATTGTGTATAAGGAAAGAAAACAGCTTTCAGTAATTGAGGAAGGAAAGAAAGTGAATGATATGAACTTAGTTTATTTTCGTTTAAAATTGATTTTTTAAAAATTTAAAAGTTTAGACAAACAGATTTTGTAGCAAGGTATTATATTACATAAAGCACTTCTGTGAAAGCTAGAAAGTGGGGGTCAGGAAGATTAAGGCTTCTTATTTTTGATCAATGGCAGGATGGTGATGGTGCCTTTACTTTTTAACAAAACCAGTACCCATTATTATGAAGTTGGAGAAGGAGCTTCAAGCCATCATCAGGGACTGAATCCCGAGACTTCTCAATGAGAGCTCAGACTCTTAACCACTGTGTCTTATTATAATACTTACAAGTAGGGGTACACAGATATTGTTCACCAAAAAATATGCCAAGATTTTAGTAAAATTTAATATACAGTCGGACCCAGATTTAACGAATTCATCGGGACCGGAAATTTTATTCGTTAAATCGGGGTTCAAAAAAAATTTGTTTTTTTGTACATATGTATTATTAAAAATTACTAGTTATAAACGACTATCAAAGATAAGAAAAGAATTTCCTGTTTGACTCACAGCCCACGTGACAAACCCCCGGAAAATGACCCTGCAAGTGTAATATGTCTTATTAACTCTGCCCACCTCCCCAAGACGAATTTTGTTTTTCCCTGTTGCGGTCGTTTCTTTTGTTTGAGACGAATATTCACTTTTTCTATTTTATTCCTCCCAGGAAAGATTTTTTTCCCTTTAGAATCTGCCAATTACAAAAAAATTCAATATTTTTCTGATCAAAATTAATGAAAAATATTTTTTCCAGATGCTGAAATAATTCGTTAATTCGAGGTTAATTATTCGTTAATTAGGGGATTTTGACTCTGTTTTTGCAGGGGTTGAAAAAAAATTCGTTAAATCGCGAAATTCGTTAAATAGGGGTTCGTTAAATCGGGGTCCAACTGTATAAGTTGTTAAACTGCTATTCATTCTATAACACCTTGAATCCTAAAAATTGATCCTGGATCCTAGAAATTTTATAGAACCTGCATCNTTATGACTTGCTGAAGTTGAAGAATTGAATTAGTTCTGGACAAATTTCTAAGGAGTGTTAACACAAGGACACCCATATTGTGTATAAGGAAAGAAAACAGCTTTCAGTAATTGAGGAAGGAAAGAAAGTGAATGATATGAACTTAATTTATTTTTGCTTAAAAGTTGAAACAAACAGATTTTGTAGCAAGTTATTATATTACATAAAGCACTTCTGTACTGTATTTATATTTGAACATTTGAAAAAAGAAGTTCTAAAAATTTTTTTTGATTATGGAACTTAATAGCCTGCTGGCTTAAATACTTATGATTTCCGAAAATACATTCTAATAAAAGTTATTATGCATAATAATATAAGACTTTTTCGAAAAGTTTTTAACAAAGAGCAATCCTAGAAAATAGGCAGTCCAAAACTTTAAAGTCGAATTTCTTTTTCCCATTTTACTAATTTCCAATACATAAAAAAACTTCAAAACTTATGTATTTTAAAATATTCATTTTATAAGAAATCTGAAATATATCATTGAATATTTTTTAAATTTCCTGATACATTTAATTGTTTTGAGTAGCCTAAGAGAAGTGTTTGGTCTGTTACTGTCAGGTCAGTTACAAAAGATAATTATTTTTAAAATAACTCATTAGTTGTTGATATTAATATAGCTTTTCTGATTCAGCATGAGGGGAGAATCATTTTAAGAAACAATCTTGTGACGAAAGATTATTTTAGAAGATTCTTGGATTTTCAAAATTATGTATTTGAGTATTTTTTATGTTGTCCAGTCTGTTACCAACATTTTAAAGTTAATAAGTGAAGCTTTATCAACTGCTCGTCATATACTTTTATATATAAGTAAGTCAGTAACCATATTTGTACCATTATGTCCCATGCCAAAAAAGTTTACATGTTGCATTAAAAAAAATATTCAATTTTGTAAAATTGTCCAGTTTGTTACCTGTTAATGTATTTTTTAGTTTAATGATGACTTATAAAATCCTCAGAAATCTAAATTTTAATTCAATCTCGATGCTGATAAAAACATGTGAAGGACAAGTACATCAATCAATGTTAATCATCAATAATGATCAAATTTAATTTTAAAACGGTTTCAGTTTCGAAAATGCCTTAGATTAGAAAATTATTATAAAGCAAGAAAGACCTTAATTAACAAAAATTTTAAGACAATATTTTACCTGAAATATTGCATGTAAGTCTATTCCATTGTTTCAAATGCTGATAAGGATATGGACCTAAATATCTATCCATTTCTTGCAAGTTTTCTCGAATTCTTCTCTTATCATCTCCTGAGGGTTCCACACTGTTTAAATCTACAGAGAAAAAGTTTTCAAAAATGGATAATGTGTATTTATTATTACAAATTAATTATTTATGTGTAAAATATAAACAATAGAAAAAAAGCAAGTTAAATTTTATTACACTTAGAACAGAAGTCAAAAACAGTTCCTAAGCTACTTTTGTTCATTTAAAATTTTAAGGGATTTAAATATTTTTATCGAGAAGGAAAAATGTCATGCATTATTTATTGAAATTCTTTTTTAATTCGTACTTCAGTGTTCGTATATGTCATAATATTGCCTAAGACAAAAAATATTGTGTAATGCAATTGAATTCTAAAATTAAAATATTGCACATTAAAGAAAAAAAATTGTTACTCTTTCTTTTGAAATATTTTAAAATATATTTAAATCTTTCTTTTCACAAGAAGGTTTTACAATTTGTGTCTAGGAAGTCTGATAATGACATGCCGTGACGTTCATGATATAATAATATAAAGTTATTAATGTTTTGATTCATCCATGGTTTTTTTATTTTATTTCCTTAATTTAAATTATACCTGTGCAAGGAAATTACATTTTATATTCATAAGCCCCCTTCTCTCTTATAAAGCCTATGAATAGACTTGAAAATCAAATCTGGTGCAGTTTATAATCCATGCATCACTTATCGAAACATAAGATGCTAACATAAAATTGGCATTCAAAATATAAGTAGTTATTCTTTTAAACATTCAAGCACTAGCCAAAATACTATAGGAATTACAGTACATTTAATTTCAGATATATAATAATAAATTTTTTTATTTATATAATGCTTAAACTATATTAAAAATCTCCTTAAATACTTTTAATTTCTATTTTTAGACGAATTTTACCCTATAAAGAAATTATTGCACTACTGGAGATTGAATAAAACAAACTTTGTAATCGTTTTTCAATATGTACCTATTTTGCATAAATATAAACATACATTACACAGCTTGAAATACACTAGAAAGTAGATCAACTGTTTTTACCACATAATTATACCTAAATATTTTTATGAAAACAGAGAAATCATGATAAGAAGAAGGCATTTACCTTCACTCATGGCATCCCATTTCTTTATAACTATTTCTTGCGGAGCAAAGTAATGGAAAAAACCAGTTCGAGGAGCAACTGAGCCTTCTTTGCTAACAGCACTGTAATAGATAAAATGCAACCCAGGAGGAATCATTTTTAAACCTTGAAATTTATCACCTACTTGATACACTTTCATATCAATACCAAAAACAGAACCAACAGGAAGACCGAGCACGATCAGTATTCCACCATTTTCAAACAATTTCCTGGCTTTTTCTGGTGGCAATTCAAGATTATCTTCATGACTACGTTTAAATGATGAAGCTGCCATACTGTAACATAAAATTAAATATATTATGACAAAAACTATAATTAATGTACTGAAAATATCTATGCAAACAATAATACAATATAATATACTACAAATTTTGTACATTTTAAGTATATTGTCAATTTCAGAAACAGTCATGACATCACACTGGCTTGACTAATAAGATAGATTCATAAGTTCAAAGAAAACTTGTGAAGATTTTTATATTCATATATATGTCAAAATAATTGCCAAGTATTGGCGAAAATCCGGTCACGGCATATGAGAAACTAATCACAAAAAAAGTCACAGAAGAGGACAAAGTAAAGGTGAAACTTATATCCACACCCAGACAAGTCACAACATAAGTTTTCTTAATTTCTTGCAAGTCAAGTGCAAAAGCATTTTAGTGATTGTAATTGGCAGAAACAAGTAACCAATATAGAAAAACCTTTAAGTGTTTTAAATTTCTATTCTTAAAAAATAAGATTAAATGTTAATTAATAAAAAATGCATTTAATTCTGTAACTTTTTTATCTTATAATTAAAACAACACATTTGAAAGTTTAAAATGAAATTGTTGTCCCATTTTATTATAAATTAAGAACTATTAAGCTTTATTATTTTCAAAAATGGAAATACAAACCAGATATTTTTGCAAAGTAGCAAGCATTAAAAATAAACTGACAAATTAAACGTGCTTTTAAACATTTAGACATGCTTAAATAAACAAAGGAACGATTCTGTTTACATAAGGCCATAATAAATCACCAAGCTATTTTGCTTAATTAATTGTGCTAGTATGTGGGGTATTGTGGTAATAAATACCTAATATACTATAGGTAATGGGGTTAAAAATTTCATATTGCCTTTGACAAAGAATAGCATTTATGTAAAAAACTGAAACATACAACTTCCATAGCGGTACTAGTTCATGCCAACTACCATTGTCAAGGCACCAAAAAGTTTTGTACTACAAAAAAAAAATTTTTTTTTTCTCCAGAGGTTTGCTGATTACAAGCTGGACCAACTCGAAGGCGACTAATCTCCTCCTTCTGCAATATTTTTTATGATGATACAGAAATCTTCAACAATTTTCAAAATGGGAAAAGTAACTGCATCATATAAGTTAAAAATAAAACATTAGTAAAAATTAATTTACTTCGAGCAGCTGAAGAAATCCAACTATACAATCGAAAGTTTAAACTCCTAAAAAAATAAACAATCAATAAATTTTGATTAAGCAAAAGTCATAGGAAATAAAAATCATTATTATTAGATTAAAAAATTCGCTTTTTTCACCTTCCGCACTTTATTTGCTACAGGATCAAGTTTTAAGTAATGCAATTTTGATTAATATTTAGCTTGTAGCTTTCTAAAAATAATAATTTAGCATTTCCTTGGGTTGATTTTCATAAATTTAGTAAGATTTCATTACAAAAGCAGAAAGCCGGATGCTTACAGAATCAATCAATTTGTGATTGATTGTAAACAATCATCCGACGTCAATTCCGTAACATCTCTTATCAAAAATATCTGTTAGTGCTTTGCGAAACATTTTTTCTATTCAGTATAACTCTTTTATGTTATCAAGAAGTTTAATTTAAAATGGCTAGTTCTCTATTGTTAGCTGGTAGAGTTGCTATTATAACAGGAGGTGGAGGAGGTATCGGACGGACTGTAAGCAAACTTTTCGCTAAAGAAGGTGCTACAGTCATTGCTACTGATAACAATGAATCTGCTTTAAAGGAAACTATCCAAATGATGCCTGGTTGGTACTTTAAAAAAATTTTTTGTGTAATTCTTGATAATTTATTGACAAATTACTAGTCCTAAATTTAATATTTATTTTAAATTTTTAACAAATTGTACCTATAGTATATTTAAATATTTATTTAGGCTGTGATAATTCCAGTTTTTATATTTTTATTGAAAATCGATTTATGTAAGTTTATAAAATATGGGAAATTTTCTATACCATGATTTATGGCAGAATAGTCAACAAGTCTTGGCAACTTTCGCGAAGTGGCCCGCAAGAAACTAAAAAGAACATCTCAGAAAGGTACTAACTTGAAGGGTATAATTCGTATTCTCCCTCGGGCTAACCTCTTCTTTTTTTTCTTGAAAAAAGGAAAATTTTTCAGAGCTTAAGCAAATGAAATTTTCATTTACGTCTTTTCATAAAGGATACTCACAGAGAAAGAATAAATATTGCCCTATCTGCATTTAAGTTAAATAAAATTACAAATTGTTAAATCATTAAATACAAATAATTATATGGCTCCAATTTATTCTGCATTTTTTTATCGTCACTATCAAAGGTGATAACTGCCAATTTGAGGTTTAGAATTTTACTTCTGTGAATAATTGTGATAAAATGATCCAGGGAAGGAAAAGAGCAAAGGTTTGGGCTGTTTAAGGAATTGCCTATTTAATTAGTAGTGTGTTTTCATGTTAACTTTGAAGCAAAGCATGTGTTCAAAATCATTGTAACTGCTTATTTTTTAATTTAAGTTCAATTGACAGTTATAAATTTGCCCAGGAATTCACTTTGCTAATGTTGTTAGTTAAGGTTAAAGAATTGCCCTGATGTTTTTTTCAATCTATCCACTAAACCTGGATAAATTAAAATTGTTCAAATTAATTTTACAATGATGCACAAAGTCAGCTTGAAGTAATGCATAGTACATCTCAGTGTGAGACTGTAATTTTAATTTGAGGCATTTTGTTTTAAATAAAGTAAGGCTCAAGTTAGTTGTACGTTAATTAAATTTTTTGTATCTGAAGGGACTTAATTTGACTATGGAGTCTTTTTTTTTCTTACTGTGCATTTGCTGAAATTATGATTAATGATTGGTAGGTATTTCACTATATTTTGAAGAAAAGACACATGATCGATGTTTTATAAGTGACTTCAATGTGTTTATTTTATTGTTTTTAATATGTTTGCTTAGCATTGTAAAATAGTAGTTTGGATTTATCTCAATATGCAATCTACATGCATAATACACATTAATTTTTTTAATTGTCGAATTTTTTAACTCAGCTCTTTTAGTTCCACTGTCAGGTATACTCTACAGTGAAGTTTTTTTAAAGTTAAGTACCCCTGCCAATAAAACAGTTGCCTGAGGGCTGAGAATAGATATAGATCTATAGCTATTTATGAAGTGCATATTCTGTGTTAAAAAAAAATGACTGTAATTCTAGTGAACTTCAAATTGAATGGGATTGCAATATTTGATTTCTTTTTTGGCACATGTCATAAGAAATCCACCAAAAGAGGTTTATGATAAGAAAATTAAAAAAAACACCCAACATTGGATGCAGAGTTACATCAAATCAGTTCCTTTTATTTTGTTCATGTTTTAATGTTAGAAAGAACTTATCTGAAATTTACAATGTTATTGTCTTCCTGCTTGGCAGAGTTTGCTAACTTATTAGAGATTTCTATTATGATTATGCTTGTTTGCTAATTACTTCTGGTTCTTATTGTGTTAAATTTTGAAATTAGTAAATTTTTTTTTTAAAAATTGTATTGATTTAAAAAATAGTGACTTAAATTTAACCTGTTTTAACTAATACTTTTATGTGCCGTTACAAAGTTAGTAAAGAACACTCCAAATTACTTAAACTTTTCAAATGGAACTGTAAGCTTTTTGTACAAGCCAGTTTATATTTTCTAAATGATATCATAATCATTTAGTTTATAATAATTCTTTTATCATTATTTTAAATGATTCTGTTGAAAATTCAAACAATTCATTCAGTTTAAATTTTTACTAGATCTGGTTTGCCTAAAACACGCTGGTCAGATTCTTAATTTCCTACTGCAATTTTTTATATAAATTTTTATTTCTGTGAAAAAGTTACAACAAATAATGCAGTTGGCACAACTCGTGAATAATTTCTATTACTAATAAAAGTTGATTATAAATTTAATTTAACTCTAAATCTTTTTGCATAAAAAAGGAAGGTACAGTATATCTCTACTCTCCTCTCTTAGGATTAAACACTTAATGAGTCGATGACTCTATTAAAGCACTATATACTGTGTTGTATATGCCAAAAATTGTTGAGAGAATGTGAAAAATAAATAGAACACGTAATTTTCTAGCACAGAAAAAAATGAGAGAAAATAGCCGAAGCAAGTTTATGTAGGTAAAATTATTACCAAGCGTTTAATTATATATATAAAAAAATTTCTTTTGTTCATTATTAATGGTTGATTAAGAAAATTAGAATAATTCGGAGTATTTACTTTGTTGCTCTTCCTTAATGCAGGTGTTTGAGCAGTTCTAATTAAAAGCCTTTATTGTTCAAATGTGAATATTCCTGCTTTGTAAATTCTTTGTTTTTTTATTAATAGATAGAATAGTTATAAATGTGAATATTAACAAAGATATAAAGTGAAATGTGAGTATTGATAGTGGGATAAAGATTCGCATTTGTAATATGGATCTGCTTTTGGTAAAAGGGATCCAAAAAACAATGGAAGCCCTAAGGAACTATGCAAGTCTCACAAAGCATTATGTAATAACTGTCAATAATAATTAAGTTGTAATATGGCCAGTGGTTTAATAATTATTGTAGTCATGAGTGTATTTATTCCTTTTCATTACTAGGTATTTTACCAAAACCCTAATTTTATGGTGTACTTTAATTTTAACTCCCCTTGCCTTCAAGCTGAGGTCATTTTTTTAAAATTTTCATTCCTGGCAGGAACATCTTTGACTTCAGATATGTATTTTTATTAGATCTAATATGCTGTGAATATGATTTCTTTTTTCCCTTTAATTTAATAGTGCCTTAATTTATATTATGCTTAAATTATGTGTTGATTCTCAGGGTTGGCAAGTTTTTGACACATGACGGTTTTTACCATGATTTTTATCGTCATGTCAAAAAACCCTCTGTCAAAAACTGTCCAAAACCCATAATTTTGGTAAAACTGTATTTTTATTTGAGTTTAACCGCTTATAATTTAAAATTAATCCATTTTTGGGCAATAAAATTAGAAAAAAAGTTGTTAAAAGATATTTAAGAACAGGTTCTTGCATTTTCCCAACATGATTATACCAAAACATACTATTTTTTTATATTTTTATTTCAACGACTTAAAACTCCTCATGCACCACAAAGTATAGCATGAGGCTTACAGTTGTAAGTAGAAAACTTACAACTGTAAAAAAAGGAGAAAAATTTACAAATTTACATTAAAAACAAAATTCCGCAAGACATTCAATACTTTTGACCAGTTCTGATAAGACAGGTGGCCAACAAATAGAAAGACGTCTCAAATCAGTCTTTAAATTCATTCGGGCACTCGCATACAGACTACAGTGAAGAAGAATATGTTTAGCATCTTCATCAGCATCGCCGCAAGCACAAATTCCACTGGTCTGCAGATGGAAACGAAATAAATATCTCTTAAAATTTCCATGGTTTGTTAAAATTTGGGTCAATTTAAAATCAGTTGCAAAGAATTTACATTGCAAACTGTGAAAAATGGGTGGAAAGAACCTTTTCGTCCAAAGTGACCGAGGCGAAGCAGGAAATTCAGCATTCCAGTCCGCAATGATTTTATCTCTAGCGATGCGCTTCCAGTGAGAAGCTGGAACAGACACCCTTGAGTCTATTTCACCACACGTAGCTTCCCTAGCCGATTGGTCTGCTCTTTCATTGCCCAAAATACCGCTATGGCCACGAACGTAAGAAAAATGAATACATAGTTACATATTCAAGAGCGTTCAAAATCGAGTGAATTTCCACCACAAGCTTCTCAGTAGAAGTCGTGTCACGCAAAAGGAAAAGTGAAGAAAGAGAATCTGTACAAATGAGATATTTAAAAATTTGGTTTTCACTAAAAGAATTTTGTATCCACTTAACAACCAGGTTTATACACAAAAGTTAAGCCTGGAAAACAGTACATTCATTATGTAGTCGGTAAACATACTATTTGAAGTAAAATATTCCTACTAAACAAAATTTTCAACATTTCCAAGCATCATTTTGTTTGGCATATTACATTACTGAAGAATGTCAAGATTGATTACTTTCATTCATAAAATCTTGCTTTGAGAAACACATGTACACATAAAAAGAAAGCCTCATAAAATAAACTTTTCTTAACAATTTTGCTTTAATTCAAGTGCTTATGTCTTGCCCATCCAGTTCCGCATCCATTGAAAGAATCTTCTCGAATTTTGGACTCATCCATACTAAACTCAGAAATCGACTGGGCAATGAAAAATGCGCAAAATTAGTCACTTGCTATCGTATGCTTCGGCACAGTGACCCCGACTACTGAACATGTAATTTTGTTTGTAATTAAGTTTTGTTTAATGTGTTTTTTCAACTGAATAAAAGTTTTAACTTGACAAAATAGCAGTAATTCTTGACTTAAAGTGTGTTAGTAGTTACAAGTTTTGTTTAGCTTATTTCTAATATTTAAGAAATGCCAAATTTTTAATTCTTCTTTTTAGTTCTTGAATTTATTAATAGTTCCAAGCTTTTTTGTTTGTTTGTTTATTTCTATCAATTAAGAAGTGCAAAATTTTGAATCCTTTGCAAATCAAGCTATAATGATAAAAGTAAGCATCACTATTTTCAATAAGTATATTACAATATTTCTGTATGAATGTATATCCTTCTATAAGAATACATGTATATAGTTTCAAAATCAATAGCATTCATTTATAAAGGCAATTATGTGAAAATAATATATTGTCCGCTATATGCTATAAATTAAAGAAAACAGTAGGTTTTTGACGATTTTTACCGGTAAAAACACGGTTTTTACCACTGTCATGTCAAAAACCAGTTTTTGACGGCAAAACCCCAACCCTGTTGATTCTTAAACATTGGCCTTTTACTAATTTTTTGAAATTTTTCTACCAAGTTAGCCTTTTTATCAATTAATAAACTTAATAATTTTGATAATGTTGATCTTTATTTTAGCCTGAATTGACTTTACTAACTAATTCTTATTAATATTAATTTTTTTTAGGTTAAACATTTTAGTTCTTTCACTTAGTAGCTTAAATCTATGTGATTGCTATGTTAATCTTAAAAAATAGATACAACAAGAGACACTGATACTTACAGAAACAATTTTAACAATTTAGGTTGAACTACACTGGGTCGGCATTACATAATTTGCACATTCACAATAATTATATTAATATTATCAAATTATTGATTTTTTTTTTAGTTTTGACTAGGTATTTTCTAAACCATTTTGAAATATGTTTATTTTTTTAGATGCTGATAAACATTTTTCCCATGTTATTGATGTTTCTCAAAGTGAGTCTGTTGCATCTTTCGTGCAAAAGATTTCAAAAGAGTGTCCTACTCCTGATGTTTTGGTTAACTGTGCTGGCATTACTAGAGATTGTCTGATGGTAAAAATGACTGAAACAATGTTCGACGATGTAATTAAAGTGAACTTAAAAGGTACCTACTTAATGACGCAAGCTGTAACTAAACTTATGATGGAAAAGCAGGTACAAAGTGGATCAGTTGTTAATATTTCAAGTGTATCAGCTAAAGGTAATTTAGGGCAATGTAATTATTCTGCTTCTAAAGCTGGCGTTGAAGGATTTACAAAATCTGCTGCCATTGAGTTGGCTCGTCATAACATTCGATGTAATGCTGTGGTTCCTGGTTTTATAAATACTCAGATGTTGAGTACAATACCTGATAAAGTTATGGAAAAAGTTGTAAAAAGTATTCCTCTCCAGAGATTAGGTGAACCAGAAGAGATTGCTGAGGTTTGTGCCTTCCTAGCTTCCAAGAGAAGCTCTTATGTAACTGGAAGCATAATTCAAGTTTCAGGCGGTCTTATGCTTTAATATAAAACTGAAACCTGTAATACGTTTAAAATAAATTGTAGATATGAGTACACCTGAAGTATTTTTTATAATATTTCATTTTCTTTTAAGTAATTTCTGCAATTTTTAGTTTTATCATTTTTCCTGAAAATTAAAGTGTCTATTGATTTTGATGTGTATATTGTTTTTGCTCTGCATTCTTTACAATATTAATTTAAACAAAATATGCTGGCTTAAAATATTATCCTACCTTTAGCTTTAAAACTCCTTATTGTTATTTAAATATCCACGTCTTGAGAATGCATAAATTGTGATTTTTTTTAAAATTACTTAATTAAGGTGTGGAGCTGAATCCTTACTAGAAATATGCAGCTATAGAACTGAAAAATTTTGCACTTTTCTGTTTTGGTAAAATGGCAACACCACTTTTATTGAACTTTGCGTATTCAGATATGTTAAAGACAGAATCAGCTTAGCTAAAATTTTGTCAAGGTCTGTATTGTGGAAGCATTAAAATGTTTAATACTTTTAAAACAAAAAAAAATTTAAAATTTAGTCCTGTGGTTATGGGGACAAGACAATTAAAATTGTAATATTCGTGAAAGTTGGTTCATTTGAAATAGATAACTTTCCATGCCAAATAAAAACATCACTATTATTGATTTTCACATATTCAGGTACATTATAAAATATTCAGTAAAATATTTCATGCTTTTAAAAGCAGAATAAAAAGTTTAAAATTTACTTAGTTTTCTTTGAGATGGCACTAAAGATACAGACAAATAAAATGGCAGTTATCTTGATATTTCTCTTTAAAAAGAAAAACTTCCCTCAAAAATTTTATATTCTTTTTTACCTTTCAATCTTTTGTCAAAGTTATTTCTTTAAACATAGAGTTTTATGATTTTTATTCTTTTTTTTAATTCTGCTCATTGAGGTATTTTCTTTTCACCAATCGAAAATGGGTTCCTATATTGTTAACAATCACTAAGATTGATTTTTTATTTTGGCAAGCATATAAACACACTTTAGAAATTAATGTACGCAATGAATCTATTTTTTATTCTAAAATAAGTGTAAATCTTTTTAATTTTTAACTACAGATTTTCATTAATTGAATATCTAAGTCGTTTAAAGCATTTTTATGTAATTGCTAATACACAGAAAACTGATGATAAAAATTTACATACCATGATAAAAATTTGCTCATTTTGGTTGTCATCTCTGTTTGGGGAAAAAATGTGCTGTAATTGACTCTTGTAATTTATAATGCAAATTAACTTTTTTATAATGACTACGGTTAACTATGATTGCTATGTGTAACAACACCAAAGGTTATGAGCAATTTGTTTATTATTGAAACAATCAATAGATCATTCAGTGAAAGATAGAAATAAGATAGAAATACTTAAAAAAAATATCGAGAATTTTAGATATTTTTTCCACTCTACACTAGCATTATTCATTTAAATAACAAATAAATGTCTGTATGCTCATGTCAGAAACTTGCAAGTTTTTTTTTTCATATTAAAGAATGCATTTCTAAAACTTTAAACATTGCAATATAAGTTGTGTTTCTTTTAATGCCTGTGCGCTTTGCTTTTAGAAAACAAAAATTACTTTAATATAATGGTGAGAGTTAATCAGTCAATTTAGCTATTATGGATTTTCCTAATTTCAAACATTTTTATGATCAAATATATGCTTTAAGCTAATTTTCATTTTTTCTCCTTATTATCTCACCTATGTAATATTAAAAAAATTGGATTAGAAAATTGATAAAAGAGAGAAACACAAAGCAGCACAAACCATCGTGATGTGTTTTGTATATTATAGTATTTGATTGGAAAATTAATTTGAAAAAACTTTTAAAAATACAATTATTTTTATATATAAGCATGTGAAAAGAAAGTAATTTTTTAAATCTAAATGTGATAACTGAAATAAAAAAATATTACATTCAGGTTTTAATTCCTTTCTCTTATAATTTTATGCCCAAGATTTTAGATTAAAAATATATTCCCCTTTTATAATATGTTGAAATAAAAAATCGTATTTTTTAAAAAAAAATTTCTGAATATGACTCTATAACTTACCTAAAAGCTTTTCTTTAGTACAAAATATTTTTGTTTGCAATTTTGTTTCACACTAGCCTCCTTTATAAGAATACTTCTGGGTGTATTTTAGTTGTTTTTAAACAATATATATTTAAATGAAAATTTTGTTTTATAGTATTTGGCAAACTTTTCCTGCAAATTGATGCTTTGTTGTTGTAACTTTACTTTTTTTAATGGTTATGTTTTCTGTATTTTTAGTCCACATTGTTGAAAATATTTTGTTATTGTATAATGTAAAATATTGCTACTTACATTAATTATAAATTTCCTAAGAATTTATAGTACTTATTTGTAAATTTATACACAATTTTAAAAATATTGGCGTCTTTTTGACATTATTTCCCTCTTTTATTGTCTGGAATAATTTTTTTTATTTTTGAAATTAGTTGTCTTAATTTTCACATATTTTGCCTTTCCTCCTTTATAGTCTCATATAAATGTAAAACAGTCAGAAAAATGTTTGAGATTGTTCACATATCCAAAATTTTCTGACCAGTTTATATTTTAATTTTTGAAATTTACATGCCCATGAAAAAAAATTGCTTAAACACTGGTTATACGTTAATATTATTGATAGTATATCTTTTATCTTTTTTCATCTACTTACTGTTAGTGCTAATTTTAAATTCATATTGTCTTTTTCTATGGACACAATTGAAATTTTTTTTGACTATGTGAAAATGGTAGCAGAATTTATAGAGTAAATTTTGCAGTCAATTCAGATGAATCTGACTAATATAAGATTTAGAAATTATACATTAAAACTTTCTTGTTAAAATTTAGTTTGAATTTATAATTTGAGTTTCGTAAAGAATAAATCCTTATTAAATAAAAGCCTGTTATCAAGTAAGAGGCTCACTGGCAGCTTGAAACCTTTGTAGTTTTATATGAATGTGTGCCAGCTGGTCTTGTGAGTTGACTGATAAAGCTGAGCTTGTCTTATCTGTAGTACTGACAAAATCGCCACAATTATGTTATTATTCATAAAAGTTATACATATTGTATATGTGTTATTACATATTTTGTAAATTTCTTTCTTTTTTCATCTAATTACTATAATTAATGCAAATTTTAAATTCATATTTGGCAGATTTTTACAAAGAGCAGTATGGTTGTTAAAAGTTTCTATCATACATTTTTCTAAACTTGATCCTTGGTCTTATACATAATTGTCTTTAAAAATTGATATGTTAGAAAAATTACGTTTATCATTTACAAATTGTATATGTATTATTATAAATTGAAAGATAATTCTGTTATAATTTTTTATTCAAAATATACTTTTAAAATTTCGTAGTTATAAGCAAAAGCAATATAAAAGCAAGTAAAAAATCAATGATATAAATGTTTTTGTTGAAATTAAAAAATTTGGAAAAGGGTAAACTTTTTTTTAATAATTACTGATTTAATTTTTACATATACTACTTGCATCTTATTTTTCTTCATAAAATTTTATATATCAAGACAATCCTCGAATGATTAAATTAGACATATTAATGTCTTAGTAATAAAAATTATTCTTTTTACTTTTTACTAAATTTTTAATCACTCAAGATATTTCTGAGTTCTATTAGGTTTTGTATATTATCCTATTAAATACATTATTTTAAATGATATTATTTTTGAAAATTTTTATTTTGAGAATATTTTTACAACTTAAAACCAAAGAGTAGAAAATAGTGTCTGTGTTATGTACCAAATACCTGTTTCTTTTACAATACCACCCAATGGCAATCATATTCTGGAATTAAATCTATGAACACCATCTAAAATTGATGTAAATATTGCATTTTATAACTTGATGTTTGGAGACATTATACGTATTTTTGTAGATTAAATAAAATATTTATTCTTGTATACTTGATTTATATTTCTTGAATTTATTACTCTAAAACGAAAGTTTTATCTCCACCAATAACCAAGTTTCAACTTTACATTGCCCAGTTTTGGATTGTTCTATAAGTAATTATTTCTGACATATTAAATCAATTTTTGAAGTAATTCTCATTCACAAACATAAAAACCATTTCTATTATTTTCTAGAAATTTATTAATGTGACTTTTTTTCTTTCCAAGTTATAATTTTTTTTTAAAAAAAATGAAATATTAAACTCAAGGGGATATTTAATGTTTAAGGTAAGAAAATTTATTTTGTTTATTAAAGAAAACTTGTTTTTAGTACTTTGAGTTACATAAAATATATTTAATAATGTTAAAACTGATGCTTTTAGCTAGATATTTAAAATGATCTTGAATTATTAAAACAAGTGGAAATGAAGTTTGACTCTGTAATTAAATTGTAAATACAATGTGTAATTTTCTGATAAAACTAAATATGTGACAATATATTCTATTTAACTCTCCAATAATTTTTAATACAGAACTTGAAAATATTTTGTTGTGCTTTAAATAGAGTTAAATTAACTGCACTCTGTACTACTTACTTCTGGGCATGAAGTTTCCTTTCTAGAGTAGTATGTATTTAGACTAAAATTTCCAAAAAATAAAATTACTTTCCTGTCAAAATGTTATCGTGTAGTGTAAAGAACTTTTCAGTGACCAAAATCATAAAAGATTATAGAAAAAAAAAATTAAAAAAACTGAAACACGTTTATTGCTAAAATACACTGATATTAGTTTTCAAAAAAGTTTAAATGTTACCCATTAATCACAAAAAAATATATATATATATATCAGTAAATTAAGGAATCAGAAAGGTTCCCCTACTTTTAACACTTCACACTTGTATACTGCTGCCTTTTGACAATATAATACCATATATCAATTTAAGGCTTAACATCTGTGTTGGGTTGTGGGTCAATTTATAGAAATTTTGAGTAAATCATAAAGTGTCTCAGTCTTTAAGAGTTTATTTAAGCTATCTTCAGTCTATTACGACAATTGAAGCCCCTCTCACTGGAAGATGCAGACCTGATTGTGCTCCAGAAAAAATCCCGATTTTTCGCTAACAGTGATCCGGAGATCGAAGGTCCAGACGTTTAAAAAAATCATTGATCACAGAAGTTTCCATAAATCAGATTTTCAAAGGTGGAACTGAAAAACACAGTTTATTTTATTTGTTATAAAGGAGAGGAGAGATACTTTATAAGCTTATATTCATAATTAATATTCATTTTTTATTAGTAAATAGTTGTTATAATCATAAACTCAAGAAAGAAAGACATATTTGTAAATTTTAATTACTTCTCCAGGGCATCATAGGTATGTGTAAATGGTATAGGTATGTGTAAAATTTTAAATATATTTTAAGTAAACTAAGAAATATTGGGGCAAACAAAAAAAACCTAATTTTTCAATTTAAACTGTTGTTTTTTTTTAACTCGAGAAATTTTCCGGAATTTTGACTTCGGCTCACAATCACCCCTGAAGATGTGATTATTGGTAGAATAGCACATCAGTGTTATATTCGGAATCATATTCAAGAATCTCGCAGAACATTCTTTATTGTTAAACTTCTCTAGTATCTGAGTCAATATTAGTGAAGTGAACCAGAGATGATAGTGCTCCGGAAAAAAATATGGGTCACTAACCGCAATCCAGAAGTTTCAAGATATTATTGATCACATTTATGTATAAAAATTCTTGAATGTTTTATTTAGAAATATTAGAACTTGAAATTTATACTTGACATCTCTTTCATTTGATAAATATTTTTTCTAGTAAAATAATAAATGCAATTAGACATAAAAGTAAACTTATACATAATTATTCATTTAAATTATGCTGCATATAATTTAATTAGAATTTCATGTTTTGAAAATATCAATGATTTAAATTTATAAAGACAATAATTTTTTTTAAATGCGTCATTAATGATTTTATTCAAGAAATTTTCAGGATCTTTGAGTTGAGCTATGATTCCCCTGAGTGAATAAAATTCTCATTTACTCAGGGGAATTATAGCCCAATTAGATGAAATTCATTAGATAAAACGGAACAGTTTTTTAGTTTAATAATAACATTTCCCTTTTAATAAAAGCATTAAAAATACTTTCACACGATGAGATGACCATCTTAATACAGTTGATGCACTACCATAACAGGAACCGAACCTGCACATCATTTTAGTAGCGGTGAGTTCAGAAAACTACTTTCTAGATAAATTTTCTTTTAGAATATTTATTTCTTTTAAACTAATAAAATTAAAACTGATTATAATTTGTTCTGATCAATTAATTACTTTAGATAAAAATGATTTCTACTTTTATATACGTAAAGATTTATGCTGGTGAAAAGCTTTACTTTGAAATATCCGCCAAGCAACACGCCAAACTTTGTTGCATTATTATAACATAAAATATAATAATGATTGTATTTCTTTATTTTTAAATTTTAATCTTTATTTCTGTTGATTGCAAAAGCATGTGTTTGACTATTTGAAAATTGTATATTTTTTTTTTTTATTATTATTATTTGTGAAATAATTATTCTTCCCTAAGAATTCTTTTAATTTTTGAAAAGCCAATTTTAAAACAAGTTAAAAAACATGTGTGGCAAATATGTATCTTGTCTCTCACAAAGTTACCCCATTTTTCGGTAATTATTGAAAAGTATTAAAAAAAGGGAGTAATATTATATATAAGAACTAATTTTTAAAAATACAAATTCCCAATCCCCTTATCTGTTTCTACATTCATCCCCTCTTTTTTTGATGTATGATGATTTGCATAATATTTTGTTTATTATTATTCAAGTTAACTATTTATACTTTACATTTATTTATTGATACTTTACTTTTCTACAATGGTAGTAAATATGTAAGTTTAACTTACTAATTTTTCAATATACTTGCATTTTTAATAGTCTTTGTTTTTATAATTAAAATTTAAAAAAACTAACAAAAAACAATTCAAAACAATTTGGACAAACATAAAAACTAAAAAACCAAATATACCCGCCATCTTTCATTAGTGTATAGAATAATCTTAGAACTATAATCAAAATATCTGTCAAACTTAAAATAGGTTTAAAAGGGATAACTGAAGACTTAAATGATTTCAAATTAATGGTATTTAATCTCCCTTATTCTAATAATGTGTTGTTAAAATTTTATCATGATAGTGATTTCTTTCTTTTATTTCAAATATTTTGTATAATTTTGTAAGGTTTGTCTGGTGAAGAAGGAAACAGATGTAATATTGTTTTTATGAATGAAATTAAAAAATAAGAAATATAAATGAATAATGTTCTAAATGTTTCACTTGATATTAAATGTTTTATTTTTTAAACTGATTCTTTTACTATTTAAAATACAAAACGAAACACGTAAAAGGCTATCACAAAAAAATAGGGTACATAAGAAGTACACTCTTAATAAAATATTATTTTTTTCTTAGTTATTAATAAATTTGAATTTATATAGTGCATATTACAATAAATTTGTCCTAAAATAAATCCTGTAATTTTTAATTCAATTATCTTATACCAATAATGAATGTTTTACATTTTACAATAATAAATTGTAAGTATGACATTGAAAATCCTCTTATATTTAAAAAACAATTTTACAAAGAAATTGGAAAAAATAATTTTCATAAAAGTGATATTCTTGATATGCAATGTGTAGATGATTAAAAGTAATGATCCCTTAATGCAATGTAAATTAATTTTATGACAATACAATTCTGAGACATAGTAGTATAGACAAGTCTGGCATTATTTATTATGCATTTTTTAGACTAAATTTTAAAAAAATAGAATTGATTTGATAGATCTAATAGTTTTGATGTTATAAATATTTTATGAGTAAAAGGTAAGTCAAAAATTTTATATTTCATACTTTAAACCCTCATTTTATCTAAAGAATTATTTCAAAGGACTATTTTATTGAATTGAGCATAGAAAATTAAATTAGAAGAAAAGCCTTACTTGTTTAGATAGCAATGTCATTTGCATAAAGTGGTATAAGTCATAAAATTGTACTTTCTACACATGTACTTGTAATGTACTTTCTATAAATTTCCGAATTGCTTAACTATTAAATCAAACAGCTTGGTTTTATTCTCATTCGATTTTGCCTATACATAGATAATGATACCGGACTTGCCCAGCTAGCAATGTTATATAGTAAATATGTACAAATAAACTATACTTTTATACATAAAACATAAATAACTTCTATAACATCAGTCACTTGATTCAATGTAAAAAAAAAATCTTAAAGATTCTAGATAGTATTTAAGTTCATCCCCCTTTTACCTCCTTATCCTTTTAGAGACGCAACACGAAATTCATTGATATCTTAATATAATTTTATATTATGAAGTAGAAATCATAATCCTTTTTATACTATGCTACTTCACTAATTTCGAAATGAAGTGTCCAGAATTTTTATTTGCAGCTGAATAAAGACTTTAAAATGTACAAAATTAAATCAAAATCAATCAATATTCTACAGCGTCTGGGATTTCCTCTTCCTCCCTTTACGAACATCGTTGAGAAACTATGACATAATAGCATCACATGATAAAATAAAATATGAGCCAAAAGTTAAGATAAATAACAAAATATGGTAACCCAGTTACAAGCAACTGTTCGGGCAATTAAGCAACCCTATCGGTAACTCTGAACGGAGAAATTGCCTTTAGAGTTGCGGATAGAGTGGAAGTTTCACTTACGGTTGCTCTTATTTATTTCTCGTGTGATAGAGCCATAAGAATGACACAATATGATTATGAAAATTTATTTATTATTGTTGAGTAAGGAATATTCTCAAATTTAATGTCTAAAATAATTTCTTTCTGTAAGAAATAAAACTCTGAACATTTAAATGATTTTTTGTTAAAATAAATATAATTTTCATCAATATTTATATTTTGAGATTTGCACAGTTCTGTGATGTAGAGTTTATTTGGCACACTTAACCAAGAGTTTAATGTTTCTACAGGAAACTTGCAAACATTTGAACTAAATGCAATACACATGCTCCTCACTGCCTGCAGTCGAACTTGATTAAAAAGACAAAAAAATGAAAAGGATAAAATCAATGGTAATTTTTTCAAAAGTTTAAAAAATTTAATAAAGTTTCCTTCTGTAAATGCTAAGCAAGTAGCAATGGAAAGTTTAACAATAGGTTCTGAAAGATAATCTTTGAACAGGGGTAAGGCACGGTGAAAGATTTCCGAATTTACAACTTTCTGGGAAAGATATATTGCTATAAAATCACATAGGTTATTATTTTTAAATTTTGAATATAACATCATCAATTTTTCAAGGCAAATTGTTAGCTGTTTATTGTTTAGATGCATATCAAACACTGTAGATGGTTCCTCGCACAAAAGATATGATGATAATAAGTAAAATCTAACACATTTTTCAAAGATTACCAAAGTGTTTAAATCTTCAATCATTTGAATAGTTATGTCTTGACGAATTCCTTGTATACGATCGTTCACGAAGTCATAAACGAGTATATAAGGTATATTTTTTGGTATAATTTCATTTACTAAATAGTTCATAGTTGCTAATAAAACAGGTGAAGGGCGTAAATCTGATGGTGATGTATATGATTTCCCAGCAGCTGATCTAGTAAACTGTTTCACCACTTTGTCAGGATCGGCGATTTGTTTATCTTTAACATCAGTTTTCCTTTCAAAAATGTGTAATAAACCATTTCTTTCCCTCCATTTCATTTCGCTTACTGAACACATATTTAAGCATGTTCCTTCAACTGCTTTCTTTTGCTCACTTTTATCCATTATATTATTGTTTATCTAGTTTAATTTAAATCTATCCTATTATTTTAATTTTGTTGTTATCTCATTCTGATTTGACGTCTGCTTTGAATAGTTCAATCGGTTGAAATCCTTTCAACTTAAAGAATTTTATAGATTCTTTAAACTGGATTATCTTACATTTATTCACTACCATTATTCATTTCCGACTCAAACTCAGAAAACTGAAAATAGCTATTATTGAAACTATAACAGACTGAAAATGTACGAACTGTACAATCATGATAATTCTGCTTATGCTTACCAAATTTTTTATATTTAATCCATTTTCAAATTATATGGCTAATAAAAAATTATGCTGCTAATTTTTAAAATTAGAGTATGTATGATATATAAGTACAGAGAATTTTAAAAATTATTTATTCATTTTTTTATCCTCAGGTTGGGAATTGAAACCGTACAAACCTGAGAACAAAAACCTCCCATAATGCAACTCGAAATGGGTAAATCGCCATTTTAGAGGCTATTTGTAATCGTGGTTATTGTTTGTGCTCGCCAGAAATGCTAAATAACAGAACTGAAATCGATGAAAAATTCGAAAACTTGCTTTATACCAAATTCTTTAAACGCCCACATGTAACATTTTGTTACATCATTTCATTATAATTAAATTAACAAAAGACCACTGAAGGTCAAGTTTATATGGTTCTCTGTTTACAACTTAAATACATCGAGTAAAAAATAAATGACTACAAGTTTTAACTTGTTTCAACCATTATCCTGACACAAAGAGATAAAATTTGTGTTCATTGAAAAATAAATAGTAACTATTTACGTGTTTAAAAATGAGAAGTCTCTAATCCAGTTGATGAGTAAAGCAAATTAATCCTTTTTGCGTTTTATAAGTGCAAAAAAGACTCAAGTTTTTACGAGTATTGGGAATATTCCTCACTGATAGAAATCCAAAATGGGTTCAAGAATACCATCTGATAAAGTAAGTGTTTCTTTACTTAACCCATATTTTATAAATTGCATAGTCAGAAAATGAAACTCTTGTGTTTCTTTTTTAAAAGAGTGAGTTAAATCTTTTGACTCCTTCAGATATTTACAATATTATGAGTATAGTTATTAAAATATAGTTACAAAAATTTAGTGTAATAATTTGAAAAGTGTTCCAATTGCTAAAACTTCATGTAGTTATTTCTCACATAGTACAGAAGCTCTGTCCACAAAACATTGAAATTAAAAATATTTGCTGTTACTCAATTATCAAAATGCATGTGCTAATTGGAAATAACAAATGGAGAATGAACTGTATACTAGTACTTTGCATTTAAAATACTTTTATAAAATGCTCATTTCTATTTTAAAAATCTAATAACTTTTTTAAAGACTCGATATTTAGAAGGTTATCAAAGGTTTTCCTACTGTAAAAAGCACTTAGTTTTCCTTAAACTGCCTAATAAAAATAATCTAATTTGTTTTCTTTGTGTGAACTTCCATGTTTTTTGCTAAATGTATTTGAGTATAATATCGATGAAATAATTTATGTTATGAAAGTGATTACAGTATAAAAAAGAATAATGCAAAAAAAATTTTAAATTAATTCTTGAGGTAAGGTTTTGAAATGCCATCTCATGTAATGCATTGACTTATCAGCATGTGACAAAGTTTATTAGAGGTGTATGAGTTATCCCTATTGGGTACCTGCAAGTGGTGACATCAGATAGATTGTGGCACTTATCAATCAATTCAGAAGTTAATTAGGTTTGTCACACACATGTAATATCACTTACAGGTATCCAATTAAATCCGATTTAAATCACATGATGGTTAGGCACTTCACTTTTCCAGTTGTCATTGCAACTGAGGTTTTGAAAAGTAAGCTATTGCATATTAAAATATTTTACTATTAACAATAAGGTCTTGGTTATTATACTGACTACCAATTTCTAAATGTCCGTGGTTAACTATTAAACATCTTTTATTAATTTTTCCTCCTGTCAATAACTTTAGTTCTGATGGATAAAGTATGTTTAAATAAACTTTGTTACCATGTATTAATTTTTAAAAATCTTAATTTATTTAATAATAAAGTTACTTGATGATTTGTTTAATATATTATTTCCAATGACAAAGTTACTAGATATTTGAGTATTATCAAAGTTTTTTTTACTATAATATGCATCTAATTTTCCATTAACTGCCAAATAAAAATTTTAACAAACACTTTTTTTTCTCCTACTGAAGGGTCTTAAAGGAGAACCAGATAAGTGTGCATAACTTGTGATGTCTTGTTGTGATTCTTATTACTTCTTAATATTTCTTTAAAATAGTCTTGCAGTTTTAGCCAAATATGAAAAATAATAATACACATTCTTTTTACACTTTTTAATTATTTAAGGAAATTATTTTTAATGATAATGTATTTAACAATCATTAAGTTCACTCTTTTTTAATGGCAAATGGAAATTCAAATTAAATTTATGCAAAAAGCTTAATTCAATTTTTTTCATAAATGAAGCAGAAACTTAATTCAAGAAATAATGTAGTAACATTACTAGAAATAAATTGTTGCCATATAAAATTACATTCTTAAAAATGTTATAGAAGTTTGTATACCTCACAATTAAAAATTTAGCAGACTATTATTAAATGAAATATAAAATAATTAACACAAATTGTTTTTTGTTTGGTATTGTCTTTGGATACAAAAATATCATAATTGTGTGCAAAAATATATCGATCAGGAGTGTGAGGTGGGTCCAAACTTTCTTTGTATCAAACGATATGGGCCATATTTGCCAGGTTTTAGTTCCCTCCCATACTTTGGTGCTCACAAGGAATCATCCATCATATATATCTGGTTTCGTCACTTTCAAATTTTGTCAGCACAACAGAAACTAATTAGCATGTTTGAGTTCGCCGAACATGGAGTCCTAATACATAAAAATTCAATCATGAGTTAAAAAGTTATTCAGAATGCTCCTTTTTTTTTTTTCCAGCACTGTACATACAATTCAAACAAGAAGTATTGAGAATCAGAAATTATTACGCAACTAAATATCAAACAATTATTGTTAACCTCTTCAACTTTTCTTAAGCCGAAAAATCTGCCTAAATTATGGCCTAAATCAATATATAGATTGATATCAAGTAACAACTTTTCTGTAATATTAATTGACTAGTTATATAATATGTCAAGGATCTTAAAGTATAAATAGTATACCATGTTTTTTGAAAAAGCAGTTAATAGTTTCAATAATTTTGATCAGATTTTTTTTTTCATGATATGAATCATAATTATAGTAGTAAATATAATGGAATTATTGTGTATAAGTAAAACAGTTGCTTGCCTTCTAATAAAATGTCTCCAATTACAGAAAAAAGTTTGACTGTTTTTGATACTCTTGGATGGGTTTTTAACTCATCCTTTCAAAAATCCAACCCTGATTCGCACATGCGTTTGAATTGTGAGCGAAGATAGTTAATTATTTTATTTTACTCTGTCAATCACTATCTTAATGAAGAATAGACGTAAACTGATCTTCTCTTGATCTTCATTTAACATTTTAACTATATATTTTTTCATTTACAGGAAGATTTTTAAGTTTTTAACTTTTAATATTTCATGTTTTGCTTTTAAATTGATTTTAAAATTGGAGTTGAATTTTTACGAGGGTAAAACCTATTTTCACTGGGATGTGGTAGGAACAATTAACACGTGTTTATTTATTGACAGGTAGTAATTTGGTATTTATAACTGATTGGAACATATTTTTATATTTTAGCTAATATTAAGAAAGAATTATTGGATGTATGTGTACGAGAGGGTAAACCATTTGACAATTGATATGATGCAAGTTATCTTCTAAATTTTAATGCTAAAACAAAAATTTTTCAAAGCAAGATAAAGCAGATTTTTTCACAATTCGACACCTAGAAAATTAATAAAATTATTAGATTTTCAGTAAGAGCGAATCATTAAATTTAAATTAAAATAATATTTATAAATTATTACACCATAACATACCAGAACTTAATTATAGCTGCAAATGTAAGACACAAAAATCTCGAATAATCAAAAAGCTCAAATTTGCAGAATGTTAAAAGTATATAATTTAAAAAAAATTTTGTTGGAACATCCAAAATCTACTATAACGAAAAGACTTTTCATTTGGAAAAGTAAAAATTATTTAATTTATTTCCGAATTTTAATTTGTGTAATGATTTACAAAATTCGAAATTGCATTTTTTCACCTACAATATGCAAGAATACCACCTATAATATTAGAATTTAAAAAAATTTATACATTTTTATCCTATACTTCTGTAAACACAACGTTTCTGTTACTTTAAATAAGTAATTGTTATATTTAAATGTATCTCAAAGCAAAATATTAGTGCCTGAGAAGTTTGTCGAAAAAAGCCCGAAAAAATTCTGCCACAGGGGTATGTAACAATGGGTTTCCATGGCATAAAGTGCAACAGTGATTGACTATTAAAAGCCCTTCTCCATTGTACACACTTTTGCTTACAAAGCATGCAACAAAATTTCTAAATACAAACGAATTTTTCTTCTATTTGTAAAGATTACTTAGTCGGTGGTTGCCTACACATGTTTGCTTTATTAATGTTCTGGTTTAAGATTGTAAGTAAAAAATTAACTGAAATGATGTTATGTTCGTTTTCACTTTCCTATTATGATACCAGAAATAAATAAAAATAATTAATATTTATTTCTATTTCTTGCAATATTGCTTGCTCACTTAAACAGCAAAAAAAGAAAGAAGAAAAAGCATTTAAGCCCCCCCCCCACCCCGCAAAAAATTTATTTTCTTAGCAGTAGCCTAAGACCATTAATTTTAATATTAATAATTTTAATATCTGACATAAAATTATGTTGCTGGAGAAAGTTATTTATTTCAGAAAAAGCTATAATTGATAAATTTAGCTCATATATTATTATAGAGCCGGGGTTTCCAACATAAATGAGGCCGGGGACCGCAATTAAGACACTAGTCAAATGGCGGGCCGCAACTTTATCAAAAATTTATATAATACTCTTAATGCTAATTACTCTTTAATGCTAGAAGGAACATTAAACATTACTGACAGATTCTTAACAAGTTATATAAAACAAAAGTATTGAATTGCAAATAATACTAATAAATATTTTTTTGGATTCAAAACCTGATAAAGAAATTTTATTTATTTATTTATTTATTTTTTTGCACCGTTGATATGTTAAATTTCACAGAAACGAAGAAATTAGGTTTTTTTAAAAATGAAAGAAAAGTATTTTAAACCCATATGAAAATTGTCCGTAAAAAATGACAACTCATATATTTCAGTTCATGGGCAACATGCTCTGTGGGTGGCCTGCAGGCCGCCAGTTGGTAAACACTTATATAGCATAAAAACTGATTATAATTTATAAAGAATATAAATGTTTAATTGAGTTAATAATTTTTTAATTGACAGTAATTGTCAAAACAAAGAAAATTTAATATCCAAATAATTCATGAACATGATTGTTTGATCACTTATAATTTTATATGTATAGCTATTTATAAATACTCTGTTTTTTTAATAGCTAATAATTATCCTTACACTAAAATTTTGGGTTTTAGACTCTTGTAAAAAAGGGTTATTTGTCAGGACGGATGAAACCATGGTTAACTTTAAAAGTCTAAAACTGGCACCTGCTGCAGATGACCAAAAATATAATTAGGTTTAACCAAGACAATAATTAGGTTTAAATTATCCTAATTGATTCTGGAAAAATCTGTGTTATTGCTGTAAAATGTATTATTCTATTTATTAAATTATGTTAAATTTTTACATATCAATCTAAAAACCTTCAAACAAATGGTTCATTGCAATAAAAAAAGTGATAGTCACCAAACATGGAAAAAAAAAATAGACTTGAAAAAAAAAAGAAATTCTAACCAGCATTTCTACAAATTTTGGTTTAAAGATATTTAAAATTTG